CCCCCCCCTCCTAAGAGATCAAAAATTGCTTTTTCCTTAGCTCTTTTTGTCGCTGAGGAGACATTTGGGAAGGCTTTGTGAATTTTTCTTTGGGCAGCGCTTCCCTGGATAAAAAAATATAAAAATTTTTCGGTTCCTTCCCGTAGGCATATCTCAGTAAGAACAAAACATAAGGGATCAGTTCAATGTCATAATGTGGGCAAGTTACATGTCAGGCTGTAGTGAAAACTAAAGCAGAACTGGGTAAATTCTCGATGCAATTTTACTTTTCAGCAGTACTGAAAGCCTGCTGGCCGCTTCAGATGGGGATGTTGCTTTCACTTTCCCAAGCATTCCGGATCCAAAGACATCAACCGAGACATCGTTTGTTCTATTCTTTCAGGTCTGTGATATACTTCGATGCATCTTCCATAGCTTTTGTACTGAGAAATATTCTTTTGGCAGCGCAGAACAAGCATAATCGACAAGTTTTAGTATTAAGTAATTTAAGGGTTTTTGTGCGTGTAATCACTCTACAGCACTACCTCCTTCAGTATTTCCCTCATTTTGTTTCTTTTTTTTTTTAGGTTTTATTCCCATTCCTTACCGCTGGTATTGGGATGGTTTTCGCTGGATTGGTGCTCGATACTGTACAGCACTGGAATCTTTTTGTTCAAGTAAGTCGAGCAGCAGTTTATTTTGTGTTATTTTTAGGGAAGTAATAACCCCACCTTGCTTGGGAACGAAAATTAGGATTGCCAGCAGGCTAACCACCAGGAAATGCATGCAGTATTGGTCAAATAACTAGAAAAATTGCCAACTGCACGGTTAAAAAAAAAGAGGAAAAATTACCGCCAATCATATTTTATGTATGTTTAGCAGTTAGAAGCGATCCCCTTTCTTGTGTGGCAATACCGATTATCGTAGAATACTATTAACAAAAGATTTCGCTTTTGGATGGAATTAGCCTATTATTTTTGCAGGTTCCAGAGACGTTTATTTTGGTGCCTGCATTGCTTGGTTTGAAAGGAAATTTGGAAATGACATTTGCTTCTCGATTGTCCACCCTGGTATATCATTGATTTCTGGTCACAATTATTTTCTGGATATTTTTGCATACGCTGAAAATGATGATATGTCTTGAACGCTTGATGTGCGCACAGTCTCCAGTTTTGATTAAAATTAGTATAGTTAGCGTACTCGTCCTGTTATGCTATTGCACTTCTCTTAGTTCAAGCAGGTAACTTGGCATCATATAAATTTTTGAGACAGTTTTTTTAAAAAAAGAAAAAATGTGGATATTTACCAGGCAGTCGCTGGAAACAGCTTAAATCGGGCTTCCCTTTTCAGGCTAATATGGGACGAATGGATTCATCTGGGAGTCGTTGGACCATTATAATTGCGAATTTAGCCCTGATTCAAGTGCAGGCTATAATTGTAGCATTTTTAGCTTCAAGTTTTGCCGTTATGCTTGCATGGATACCAAAGGGACAGGTACTACTGTTCAGCCGTCACGAAGGAATTCTTTGCGCATTAAAAGTGGCTGATTTGAGGCGGATAAAGCATACTATATATGATAGAAATTATGTTTGAGTAGCAAATAAACATCCAACGAAGAAATGAGGTAGCAATTAGATTGATAAACAGTTGTTGAGGTTAAAACAAATGAAATGAGAGTGTGTCGCTCAAAAATATAGTGCTTTATATAAGTGGCCAATTTGATTGACCACTCTACAACATATGTTACTCAGAGATTTTTTTTTTGACTTGTTATATCGCTAGAATAGGCGACTACGACTTCTCCTGTTTTGAATATATTAAGGCGTGTGTGCGATGTTGTAAGGTCACGTTAGTTAGCATTTTATTGACTTCGATTAGTGTATCTTATGCATATTCATTTTAGCCTTAGTAAATAGCATACGTAACTTGCCAGCTTCTAATTGATGTGTCCCAGCTGTTTTACACATTCCATCATTCTCAGATGTTAGCTTACCTGTCCACTTCACGGTCATTCCGGCCACTTACCGAACAGGTTCAGGATGAGGACTCTCGCGTTCACTTAGCGCCGTTATCTTCACCGTTGACATTTTTAATCTGTTCTCATAAATCCTAATTATCCAGAGTTATTCTAGGGGGAAGACCACTTAAATGCAGACCCGAGTGAAGGCAGTTTCCTACAGCATCTGTCAACTGACAAAGCTCTCCATGGCTTCCTCATCATTGGCTTGTCGGATTGTCTTAGCTATGAATCTCTTGCACTTCGTTGAAGAAGACAAAAAATGGCTACTACTGTTCCTCTTTTTGCTTTGGTCTTTGCTTTTTATCGTATTCGACGAAAAGGAGGCCGTTTCTCCTTGCATGATGGACTTAGAGCAAAAATTTTGCCCCTTGTTTTGGAATCTGTTGTGTTTTAGCTGGCTTTTCCATTGCTCTCCATCCACAAGCCTCATCGGGCAACTCTTGACGGCTTTGCGAACAGCTTACAGTTGTTATAGCACTAGCCAGTCGAGCAGTGTTTTTTCTTAAATCTCTTTGTGATCTTTGTAGCTGCCAAAGGTTTTCAACTTTTTCCAGTCGCTGCCCACTTGATCAATCAACTCCCGCCTCGGTTCGACAACGAGACCTAGCCACTGTATATTTGCAAGCTTTTGCAATTAGTTTTGCTGTGCTCAGAGCTTTTCCCAGGTTACAAGCTGCATTTTTCGAGGAGGGTGGAATATGTTGCTCGGCTTTATGAATATTCTTCTGGTGTTGAGGCATTGGTAGATGAACGCACAAAAATGTTTGTATGAATATTTGACCTTTTCTCTCGGCACAGAGCTCCACGGACATCGTTGTTCCGCAGTTGGAGCTCTGCTAAGATTTTCTGCTATTCTAGCCGAGGTTGTGCGTCTGTTTCTTCTTGATTTTTTCTGAGGTGCTCTGACGTTCCACCCATTATCCCTCGTCGTGATTTTTATCACTCAGATCCTCTGCTGTGTTTTTGTCATTTCCTCCAGTTAACACATTTTGATTTTAGCTGCTTGTCGCAGTAGCTCCTCAGTGAAGCGCTAGCTTGCAATGTTAGATCTGATAATTGCTGCTCATTGTTGATTGGCCCAAATTTGTAGAAAAAAAAAAAAAAAAA